TATACAAGTTCTACTTTGTTCGAAAGCGAAACCACGACGTCAACAACGATCGAGTCAGACACAATGGAAGGTACATTGTACTTCCTATGTGTCTTTACATGCCCAATTAATTACTCATATTTATTGCGATATCATATTATTTGATTTGTAAAATCGCTTGAAAGAATAATTTTCTTAAATATCGGAAATGTACACATTCTGAAATTATTTTAAACTTTCTTAAATAATTAATTAATAATCGCAATAACGAATAGACAATAATTAATATATTATATGCCGCCATAGATTCATCAAAAATCAACGATTTTAATTTTACCGAAGAAGCAATAATTTCTTCGTCGTCTTCAGACAGCGAGACGTCATCTGTTAGGAAATTTAACGTCACATCTACAATAGCCGAAACCACACCAATTACAACGTATATCTCAGAAAATAGCTCTACTTTACAATCAAAACGTGTAATTCCTCTCTCAAAAGGCAATGAGGTCAGATGCTATGAAAAGAGTAATTGCACTGCTACACCGCCGAAGGAATTAAGTAAACACGTTTTCATCAAATATTTTATTTTATTGTGTTCATCTTATTTTTCTCTAGTTTTTTGGCAATGGATAAATTATTTACGTTTTCTTTTAGGTATAAAAGATCGCAGAAAACTGCGTCGATCATGCTGGGAAACTATGTTCGGACAAGAGCTCGCCAAGCTCACTGTCATGGATTTGGTAGGATAAAATTTTATCAAAGTCGGGTCATAAAAAATTGCTTATTATATATTTTTTTATAAATGCGTCTTTTTATTAGATACTTACCATATTAGCTACTCTCAGCATGGATTTCTTCCGCGCCGTTTTCGTACGTTTTATGAACAACTGCTGGTGCTGGGATCTGGAGAAACAATTTCCACAATACGGTGACTTCAAGATAGCAGAAAACATCCTCCATTTAGTGAACAATCAAGGCATGGTTTGGATGGGAATGTTTTTCAGTCCCGGTTTAACGGCACTGAATCTCTTCAAGCTCGGCGTTCTGATGTATTTACGTTCTTGGGCGGTTCTCACGTGCAACGTACCCCACGAGGTGGTCTTCAGAGCCTCCAGGTTATTGAAATTAAAATAACTTGTTCGTGAAAACTGTGTCATATTTTTCCAGTTTTTAACAAACAAGTAAGATAATTAAAAAATGCACGTTTACGAATAGTTGAACACCGCGCACAGAATTTGTGAATCCATTCATCAGTTTTTTATATAGTTCCCTATATTTATCCACAATTATTCGCCTGAATCACTCTTGATGTATTACAGGTCTAACAATTTCTACTTCGCACTGTTACTGACTATGCTATTTTTGTGCGTGCTGCCGGTCGGTTACGCTATAGTCTGGGTCGAGCCTTCTTGGTTCTGCGGCCCATTTTCTGATTATCCAAAGATTTATAATTTAGCGACGCAAAGCTTGATAAATCCGCTTCCGAAGCTGATTCAACGGTACGTCTCTTTTTACTAGCGTTTGACTGCCTTATGTAAAGGCAGTTTTGAATATAATCTATCGAAAATTTTTTGTCTCTATTTAGATGTCTCGATTATGTCGCATCGCCTGGTATAGTGATACCATTGATTGTTCTCATGACGTTGATTATTTATTACATGGCATCTCTCGCTGGATCTTTACGAGAAGCGAATAACGATCTAAAGGTAATGACATATATATAAAAAGATATGAGATATATAGCTTTATCAAGTTGTGTATATTGTTTAATATTTATTATTATTATTGATTTTATGTTTATATGAGCATGTTGTTACAGATACAGCTACAACGCGAGCGTACTGAAGAACGTCGAAAATTGTTCAAAATAGCGGAGAAGAGGCATACCATGGCCGAGACTCCGTTGTCGAGATGGAAAAAGATTCTGCCGGCGTTGCCACAAACTAGACTATCTCAAAATTCCGAAACAGTTCAAAAAGATAACGTACAGATCACGATTGGGAATGTGAATACAGTTGTAGATACAGTTGTGGAGAAACGACTGACGAACGACATCGAAGAAGATTCACGGCAGAATCAGGTATTGTCCAATCATGACAACGAGCAACGAGCTGAAGAACAGGACGATTTAATATTAAATGATACATCTTCCAACAGAAGGTACGACAATATAATAATATTTAATTAATTGTGGAAATTCTTGAGATTTTATCGCAAGTTTTTCTATATGTAAGTTTTAAATAAATAGACTGCATATTTATTTGAAATAAAAATATCAAATATTATGTTGCTGAATTACACAATAAATGATTCCCATAAGCAGGCCGATAAGCGTCGTCGGATGTTCTTGGGACTCGCCGTCAAGCGGGCGAAGTGTTATCTTACCGGAAATCCAAGTAAACGACGAAGAAAATATATCCGACGTTTACGGAAATGTAGAATTGGGTGACTTGCCTGAAGACGATCATGAAGTAACGTAACGAATCGAGTGTAATAAATAAGAAATTATTTAAAAAAATAATATATAATTAGTAGTTTTCATGATCCATTCAATTTCGCAAGAATCTGAGTGAGAATATCAAAATATTCATTTTTTACTAGTCTGTAAAAAAATATGCACTAAAAGTCTCCATAGAATTCTTTTTAAAATATTATAAATTGAAATTATAGATTAGTGTATCTAATAATCATTCCTTAAACGTGGAAGCGCGCGCTTTCTATTCATATTGCGCTTACCATTACGATTGTAGATTTTCTGAAATATAAAATTCGTAGACTTTCTGATTATTCATTTATTTCTATTATACAAATGTGTGTAAAATATCTATAAATATTTATAAATAACTATCGCACATTGCTGAAGACGACGTGAAACACCTACCTCTGAACTTCCGGCTTCGCGACGGAAACACTCTGAAATGCACACACCGTACACGCAAAATCACACTTCGATTGAGCATTGGCACATTCCTAATACCTTTATATCTTATCATCAGATATTACATTACGTATAAGATATTTATTAACATTGAGCTGTTTCGAGATTATTTATACGTATACCAATATGTGCTTTGCGTATGTAAAAATATATACTCCTCATCAGCAAAAACGTACGATTCAATCTCACGTTAGCATAAGTCAATTATACAGTTGTTCTTACGGCTATTTAAAAAAAAAATCTGTCAATAACGAGGAACATAAATTAATTGTATAAGGGAAAAGCTGTGTTATGTTATTCTAGTACACCAGTTACAAATTACCTTTGCGTTGGGATAACTTCTTTCCGCTTATCAATAAATATTAGTTCTTCTAGCCGGATATTTAGTATTTATACAACTCGCGCCATGTACGGGACGGAGAACGTATCAGCACCTTTGCGCCAAGCGCTTACGCTGCTCGTCAAGGAGCACCGACGCCTCACTCATAATTTTAGCAGTGGTTCGTACCAAGAATAATAATTGATACTCGTCTATAACGGTCAGAGCTGCCTTCGTCTTGATGAGTGCGTGAAGTACGTTCGCCCGCTCGAGATCGAGCCATCTCTGAAGCGCCACTTCCCTTTCCCGTGGACCACCGAGTGGCACGTCGGCCGGGCCCCACAGTGAGAATTCCAGCACGGATTTTACCTATAAGGGATTAAACGGTAATTTCATCCGAAAGATGCAGATTGCTAGCAACTGAATTAAATAAGTAGATGAGATATAACAGCAACTGCGAATGTATGAAAGAAATTGAGTATTGCTATTTAATATATCAGCAATCTTTATGCAACAGCTTTGAGGTTTAAAAAGCATTCACATTTAATAATTAAAAAAATATATGCGAGTACATTAAATTTACAATTAAATTGAAAAGAAATTTGCATCCTCGTGCACGTGCGTCTCGCGAATCAGAATCAAATAGGAACGAGCTCTCACCTGCGAGAGGGTAACCGCTTTCTCGCGTATCAGTAAATCTTGTATGAGAGGTAGCTCGCCCGTCAGATGCAACTGTTGCAGCGCTATTAGAGCGCATTCGCACAGGGAGACCCGTTCCTCGCCAGGCTCGTCGCTCGGGTCTATGTTTAACCTCCTGCAAAACGGAAGTTAGACGTTGAATAACGGGACCGTGGAGGTCCGCGCGATTGCATTACTATACTACGTCGAGTTGTCGTCCCGCGAGAAAGTGCTAACCCTTGTAGGAGATAGAGCCGATAATAGACGTCCTCTCTGCAGAGCACGACGTCGCTCAGAGATCTGCTGGCATCCTCGATCCCGCGTGCTTGAAGGCTCTTCAGCGCGTTGACCAGTTGAAGAAGGACGAACGACGCCTCTCTGCTCACGCCCTCGCCGTTTATGTCCTTCGACATCGCCCCGAACGATTGTATGGTGGTGACATGCAGGCACGGGAGAACCGAAATTGTCGCTAAAACAAAAGAGTTATTGTTAGAGATAATTTACTAACGGTTTACTTTAATTTAATAATAATTTACATTTTTCTAAAATGTTTTTTCGTCGCGGAATTTCGGCGTGTATTACCTTCGACATCCTCGTCCCCGGAGGGCCGCACCTTCTCGATTATCTCCTTCGGCACTTTATCCACGAATTCTATTACGGGCGTCAAATAAAAGTCCTTCTGTGGCATAGGCATAGCTAAATCGAACGCTACGCAGAGAGTGATATTTTGATCGTTCCACGTCGCCGGACAAAATATTCTTCTACCGACAGAGACCGACGATGGAGTGTCGACGTTGAAGTGCTTCAATTGGGGATTCGCGTTCTTGAGAGCGCGCAGGCTTGGCGGAAATTGGACAGTTTGATTTTCCTGAAAAGCCATAACAGTCAGAAAAAAATAATCACGTTATTTTACTGCTCGCGTAACAAATAAATAAGGAATTACTTTGAACTGAAAATATTCCATGTAACTTCTATTCAAGCAAATTAATATATCCTCTCAAGTCTGTTGGAAAGTATCCAAATGAAATTATGTACAGGTTGAGGATAACGAAATCTCCGCTATATATACGTGTACATGAGCAGAGATCGATAAAAAAAACCACGTTTGTACATGTATCGGCATACAAACGAGAATGTACAACGGTAAATAATTATAATATGCAGAGCTATAACGTACCTGCTCGAGGAATTGGGCGAGCGCCTCGTGATTCGCCACAACTACCGCGCCGTAATTATCCTCGAGGCTTCGATGAACGACGGTGCGCCCCCGGCGTTGCCTCAAGCGGCCCATCCTCGGCTCGTCGTCCGTGCTCTTCCAATCCTGATCCTCCTCGGCGCCCTGTGGTGGATCACAGGCGGTTCGATTAAAAGGGGTACATTTAATGGGAACAAAATTGGGAAGAACACGAATTCTCTCTTTCTCGTACGAATGGCGTACCTCGTCGCCGGTGTAGAAGGTGTACGGCGCGTAAAGCTCGCTCTCGGTCTCGCTGCCGCAATACGGCAACGAGATCGACCTCACGAATGACGGTTGATGATGAACCTTCGAGTCCCCGATTATCGCGCTGCTGTCGGACTTTCTCTTGCACGCGGCGCGGAATCCGCCTCCACTTCCGTGCCGCAGCTCAAGATTCGAATCACACTCGGGTGAGCTCGAGAGGCACTCGTACACGTGGCTGTCGTTGGATGTCTATTGAAATGCAAGTAATCGTTATACCACTAAATCGCTCATGTTAATGACAGTTTCGAATGACATAGCACATACGGCGGCTCTTATTATATATGTACGCATATCTCTTCGGATATAAATTTTCTTGTCATAAAGTGTCTTGTCATTCCTTTCTCTCGAATTTTCGCGGGAGATTATCAGTCTGTTCAACTATTATTCTCTCGTAACTTTTTCTATTGTAATCAATAGAGAAGAAAAGCAAAAGATTTTCATTGTCAGATACTCAGATATTTTTGGTAAATATGTTGACTGTATTACCAATTTTATATATAAATTCTGCTTTTTAGTTTTTTCTAAAGATATTATTCCTCATTTTTTTTTTAGCATGTCTTTTTCTCAGCGTGACGATAAAAACTGCGCTCAGGAAATTATTGCGCGATGACAGCAATTATCTTCTTTTCACCGTTTACTTTTCCCAAGAACATTTATTTGCATATAAAGAATGGTGCAGCGTGTGAATTGTTCGTATCAACATTTTCATTCTTACAATCTGAAGAATCTTACTATATAGCTGATTCGCATTTGTTAATATTCATGTAAAACCCGGCTTTAGACGGACGGATTTGAGAAAGAGCCTCCCTTACCGGCGAGTCGGAAGTGGATCGTTGTACAGCGGTGAGTCCGTCGTAATCCCGGTGCTGATCCTCAGCCGACGTACCCGGCGCCCTTTTCAGGACGGGTTGCGAGATTGCTCGGTCCCTCAAGCTGGCGGTTCTTTGGGGTTTCGAGGGTGCCAGGGCGCTGCGCACCTCACCTGTAACATCCTCCGCTGCTGCAGGCACGATCCGCCATCGTCAAGCGCCACGGGTTAGTACCACAAGACACAAGGCATGTCAACGAAACGGGCTAGCTATCCGGGCTTAGCTAGTAGGTACATACGCCTAACGCACTACTGGGACACTGGAGGAACGTCCGCGGTTTGCGACGCAAAGTCGAATTCGACGTGGCGGTACTACACTCTTAATCATGTATAGCCAAAAATTTGGAAGTACACGTTGAAATATAAACCCTACGTAATTACGAGGGACATAAGTATAACCCTTAAATATGTATCGCCAAAAATTGGAGGTACACGAAATCTTTAATCAGTTGTCTTGTCATTTAATCAAGGACTTGCAGTACCAAACAGGCGGTACATTTTTACCGCTAAGTACCTCATATTTATAAATAAATGTACCTGTATTTATAAATACGAGGTACATACGCAATATTTTGTACCACGTATTATATACACGAGGTACGAACTCGGAGTCTTGTACCTCCAAAAAAAAAGTATCGCGAATTCAGATGCAGAAGCAGCAGAAAAGCAGTACCTCCAATTGTATCGCCAAATTTATTATTATCTCGTGCTAATGTACCGCGAAAAATACCTCCTTTTAGTGTGTAACTCAAAATGTCATTTCCACGTTCAAAAAAATACCTCGAATTTGGAGGTATTAGGCGATACATGATTAACAGTGTACAAACGTTAGTTTTCACCCATATATTGTTCCGCACGCATGTGGACTAATGGTATATACTACTGGTATACACGTGGACTACTTCTTTTTTTTAATGTTTAGGTGGTTTCTGGATATATGGAGTCTCTCTGAGATGTAAACCCGATTTCATGGGCGCCCTGCAAGCGTTGACGGCATTAACGCAACCGCGGACCATGCGAGGATAATACATCTTTCCGCTGACGAATCTCTTAAGCAACGTCTGTCGCGCGACAAGCGAGAACATCGGCATCGGGATCGACGTACGTGCAGTCCTTCTGCGAGCGGGGTGTTCTCGCAGTTTGTTACACAAGCGTAGTGTGTACATTACGTCTAACTCTTAATTAAATTATCAAGACTCCGTATATGAGATGCCGATCACAGCGCATGCAATGCGTGCGGCGTTAGTTGCACCCAGCGTCGGTTAGAGGAGTCCTCGACTATAACGTTGCTCGTGGTACGCACCGTTACGTAACCACCGCGGAAAGAGGGGAAAAAAAAGAAGAGGAAGAAACGGAGAGAGACGTGAACGCGGATATGCGCGCGGTTTACGCTTGAGTAGTCGCGCTTATGGTCGGCGCGACGGACGTCGCCGTTGTTCGCGTTAATGAGAGAAGGAGGAGACAGAGAGAGAGGGAGAGAGAGAGAGAGAGAAAGAGAGAGAAATTGTATGCGGAGGTGCAACGAACAAGCCACAGCATTATCGGGAATTATGTACCGTACGGCATGTGTGAGACGGCGCGATCGAAGAGAAAAAGAATGACCGAGAGAGCCGAATGATCGAAAGAACAAGACTCTAAATTTTTTTTAACAGTATATGTTTATTCATCAGAATACAAAGTGTTCGATATTACAAAGTCTTTTACACTCTTACAAGGAGTAATCTTGTCGACAAGTACAACAAATAGCAGAAATAGCGTTTTCTTTTTTTAACCAGCCATTCTCAAACTTTATATATTGTAATCTTATCGCGGAAATCTGCGTTGCGAAAGCAGTCGTGTCTCAAAAGTAAAAAGCTACAAGCCTTCAATCAGTATTGCTTAATATTACGTATGTGAAACGATATCAGTGCTTAGAGTGCTTGGACAGCCGAGTCTCGTCCAAAAGAATAGGAATAAATTCTTTCAGTAAATATTACGAAAGATTATTATTATCACGTACCACAGAATATATATATATATATATATATATATATATATATATATTGTGATTTTTCAAGAGTATAATTTTAGTTTCTTTAGGACTTACAAAAATCCGTACCTGGATTTGTACCTTACGGAAAATGTCGCGTTTTTCGCCATCGGGAAAAATCGAAATTCAAACTCATCTAAATTATAATCTCAGTTTCAAAATTCCGATTTTGTTTTCAACCTGACCAACTGCGCGACGCGCCAGTGTCTGAATCGCGTGCGATTCGTTAAGTGAGAAATCGTCTGTTCTCCCCGAGGACGCGAGTTAAGCATCATCACGTGGCTCGGTCGCTGTACCCACGCAAGCGAAGCGACGTCTCTCCCGTTTTTAATAAAAAGCCGCTGGCGCGAGGATTCGTGTGAGTATGGCTGTTAACATCGAGTATGATCGCGACGATTAACTCAGTTACACTGTATAGGCCTGAACTTACCCAGATTCGCGTAAATTGAATCCGAGGTCGTCGCGGAGGTTGGCCTCCAGGTGGCCTTCGACGTCTTGTCGTTTCTGGAGGCGGCAATGCTCAATTTGATCTCCGCGCGAGGTGGCGGCGGTCTGACTGGTTTGTTCGCCGAATCCAGCCTCGGCCAATCCTCGAGGGATTGGTTTCTCGGCGGCGGAGGTGGTTTCCCGGGTCTCGCTGTAACAAAACGTAGCGTCATTTTATCTCTGCAGCAGAATTGCATTTGTACATATATATATATTTTTTTTTTTTTTTATACAACTCTCTTGATAACTTACAATGTAAATTCTTTCATACGTTTAAAATGTCATCGAAGTCACAAAGAATTCGTGCTTACCCGCGATCGGTGGAGGAAACCGCGGCATCCTTGAACCGTCGTTTTTGACACCGCAGGCATCCGGCTGGTCCTCGCCCATCCTGGCGGTGATCCTGTCATTTCCCACCACCTCGACCGCGGCACCGTCCAACTCCAACGGATGGATTATCTCTAATCGCGGCTTCGGCTGCGGCGTCGACGGTATCTCGTCCGTTCTCGCGCCCGACGTTTGACCGGTGATCACGTCCATATCTTTCCTCGTGCCCATTCTCAGGAATCTCTTGAGGGAGAAGCCCTTTCGGTTTCTGCCCCTCTTCTTCTCCTCTCGCACCTCCTTCTCCGTGGTCAAGCTGTCCTGCGACAGGGATATCGTCCTCCTGGACACGTGCTCGATCGGCTTGACGTTGTCGTTCGTCGGATCCGGCAGATCACAGACCGCCTTGCGGAACTTCGGACTGCACGAGGACGATCTTTCTCGCTTCTCCTTCTCGCGAACGACCGGGGAGTCGGACTTCAGATTCGCCCCCGGATTCCTGGCGAACAGAGAGGAGACCGGCAGGAGATCCTCCGTGGACTCCGGCGGCCGCGGAGCCATTCTTCTCTTGTTCGGCGAGCGCACGAGCTCCATCGTGGAGACGGAGACCGGAGTAATTTCCGGAAACTCCTCGTCCAGCATGACATTCTCGTCTACCTCTTCGTTACTCGTCGGATAATTTCTCAGCGAGGCTGGAGACGCGGTTACGGAAGTGAACAACGGCGAGAAAGCGGATTTCGACAGGGTTTTTGCTTGATCTCCGGATTCCGAGTTTTGAGCTGTAATGGTTGGTGGGACTTGATCGGGCTCCGATAAAATCTCGTTCGTAACGTTCTTCTTCGTTGAACATCGAGAGCTCATATCCTGCGTACCTAGAAAGAGATAGTATTGCACGCATTGTAATGATGTAAAAAGCTGCGTAAGGGAGTTTTTTTGTAAAAAGCCGTGGAAGAAAAGATGCGGAATAAGAAAATCTTTTTATGCTATTTTCATTATAGACATTTACAGCTGCAATTTACTTGCTTTTCCTTAAACAAATCAATTTTAACGCGACTTTTCATCACTACTTTAGAATTAAATGTGATAAATACTTAAATTGTTAAAATATATTAAAATTACAAACAATATCAATAGTATTTCTTTTTTTTTGTAATCATGTTTCGGATGAATTGCGGGACTCACCTAAATTTTGAATAGGTCTGCCGGCGACAGTTTGAACCGACGGAGGTGGCAATACGTAATCGCCGTTCAGAATTTTCCTCGCGGAGAGCGGACCATCGTTCGCCTTCGCGGAAAAGGTCACCGGTTTCTGCGGCACGGCGGGCTTCGCCTTCGAGTCGATATTGACGCTACCGTGTAGGAAAGACGGCCTCGGCTCCGTGGTTATGATCGGCGGCGGGCTCGTGGGCAGCGCCGGCGGCTCTGTCACTTCCTCCTCGTCCGCTTTGCCGTCCGGTTCGCCCGCGAGCTCGCGGCTGCTGTCGAAGCAGAATTTCTTCCGCTCCGCGCCCTCGCACGCTCCCTCGACCTCGCGCACCTGCGGCGACGGAGCTCCCTTCGTGCCGTTGTCGGCAACGCCGTTGACACTCTTGTCGTCGACGTTCATCGAGCCTTCGCTCTCCGGCGTCTCCTCGTTCTTCAGAGACGCCAACGAGGCGAGTTCTTCCTTCGCTTGGTCTTGTTTCGCACACTCGCTTTTACTCGTCGTCGTTCCCTTCACGCTCTCCCCCACGTCGCTGCTCGGCGCGGATTGCGCAAACATCCTCGACGAAATCTCGATTTCAGTCTTTTTTGCCGCTGAAACGGTGTTAAGGGGCACATTTGTCGCGTTCCTCTTGTCGACTTTGCAGACGGGCGAGTATTTCTGCGCCGTCATTTCTGTCTTCACCGCGTCTGCGTTGGCAGTATCCGTCGTGATCTCCCTTCGCATAATGGAAATCATATTGGCAGAGGTGATCAACGGCATGTCTACGATCTTCCCCAATTCCGGGAGAGATTTTTGTTCTTGCTCTTCCGTCTTTTTCCGCTCTGATCCATTGAGTTTCTTTGCGGCCTTTAACATTTAATATATAAAAATGTCTGTTGGAAAAAACGTTCTGCTTATGAAGCGAAATTTAAGCTCGTAAAATGATCTAATAGCTTTCGCGGTAGCAATATTGTTTCGTAACATTCCTATCTAAATAATCTTGATATTAATTATATTAAACTATATCTTTCTTAATAGAAAATGTTAAAATTGTTACAAAATCATTAAAGATGGTATCTTTTTGACAGATATCATTAATTAAGAAAGAATTAAAAAAATAATAAACACTATATAAAATATTGTAATATCATATTTGTGTTATTGCACATAATTAATTTTTGCAAGTATATCAAATACATAAAGCAACGATTATGGTTAATATAATATAATTACCTATAATAATAATTTTATTTACGATTCAGAACAAGATACTCAACTTGTACTTAATTAAGTAATCTGATTAAATACGAGAAGATCTCCGTGATAAAATTTACTCTTTATAATGCTTTCGTTGTACTTACTTCGGCGGTGTTATCCGACGATCCACCATCGCCGGGTTTTAATCTGAACGCAGGACTGGTTTGCAAATTGATCGCGTTGATCTTTCGATCGGTCGGCCTCTTGGCGGTGGGTACGGACTCGTCGCCACCGAAGGGCGTTACGGACACCAGGAGGGTCGTCTTCCTGCCATCGGCGTCTCTCTGTATCTTACCCAGCATCAACGAGGCGAAGGACTTGGCAGGCGACGTCATCGACGACTTGGACGCGTCGGGCGAATCGTTGCTCTCGACGTTCGTCAGATTCGCGGTGACCGTGTTGAAGTTCGTGTTCGCGCGGGTCAGGTCGAACAACGCGCGCTCCTCCTCGCTGTCCGGCACCAGGTCCTCCGATTTCGAGTCGACCCGGCCGCCGCCCCTGTCCTCCTCGCCGTCGGAGAAGTCATCGCCGCCGTAGCCGATCACCTCGGTGAGAGACTCCGGGAAGCCGACGTTCTTCTTTCGTTGATCTTTCCGACAAACCGTTTTGCCGCGAAGGATGCTCTGCAAGGTTATTCGATCGCCGGATACCAATCAGCAATGTCACGTTTCTATCGCGAGGCGAAACAAGCCGGAAACGATCAATCGCTTTGATCGGTAATGATTACGAACGTCCCGTTAATTGGATATGGTTACGCGATACGCAAATAACTCGGGAAACAAGTTTTTTTCAATACAACTCTCACGAGGATAGAGCGTAAAAAATGCTTGATATACTTACTATGTATCGATCTTTCGAGTAAAATATTAATTAACGCGTGTCATATACATATATGTAAATTGAACTGAATAATCTAAATCTAATAATTATAAGTGTCAATATATATACGTAAACAAAGTATATAAAATTTTTTTTAAGTAATTGATATAGACAATCTAATTCATGAAAAATTTGGATGTGCATATCTAAATACAATGCATATAAATATAGACAATTATATACGATACAAGGAGTGCGAGTATCAGTACCTGCAGCTGAAGATGATCAATCTTCAGATTCGTGGAAGCTTTCTCGACGTTCAATCGCAAGGTATCGTCAGCCGGCGCATGCTCCTCCTTCGGCTTGAAGCAGTTGGAGCAGAGCTCCTTCTTCCAGGCGTTTTGCACGAAGCGATTGCATTGTGTGGACATTGTTGCCTCACCGCGACAGCGACAGCGAAAGCCCCGTTACATCATCACTCTGAAAGGAAAAAGGTAAAATAGTAATCGATTCGATTCTCCAGCCGGTGCGACGGATCCAACGGTGCATTGTGCACGCGCAGCGGACGGACGTGATGGCGCGCGAGAAATTATTTCGTTCCGTGAAAATATACTTACCTACGTGTGAAAAATAAATTTGTCCGCTGCAAAATCGCTTAGCGCTTCTTTTCAAAATTTTTCCAAATTTTCCGAATTGGATTTCCTCTTAAAAAGATCATCGCTACTCTTCATGGCTCGTGGTCAACTAATAGTCGTTCCCTAGAACTCGTTTCGCAATGAAGCGCGGCTGTCAACGAGCGATTACATTGGACGGTCGTTAAAATCCAAAACGAAACGAGTGAGTACATTTTCCTGTCCGCGGCGTCGGCAGCGGCTACCGCGGCAATACAATCGGGACAATTGACTGGGCTGCCCGACCGGCTGAGTAATTGCCTCACTTCCGGTCTCGGCTTTATTTCCAACAGCGATGGCCTAGCCCGTACCCGTCATTAGCAAGTAATACGTAAGAATATTGTGCCATTGCGAATTTTTCTTTCTACGAAGGTAATCGAAAACGAGAGTCGAGCAATTTTTTCCAGTATAAAAACAAAGGAATTTATTTTGCTCCATGCACATCCGCACTTCGAATATTTCTTCAGATCACTTCCATTCTAAAGTTGTGCTTCACGAAAAATCGTACACTTTTGGTTGTATCAATTGGCGCATTGTTATAGTGAAAAATTTATTTTTACAAATTATTAAAATCTGATGCAGTAACTTATAATACGTAAAATATTCTGTATAATTTACGTAATCCTAAATGAAACGATTTGTTAATGTTTCCATTCGCAAACGACGCAGGGAGCAACGATGTTGCGGGAACTTCTCGAATCATCCTCTCTCTATTGACAAATATTCACCGTCTATTGCAAAACTGGTGAGAACCCTCTCTCTCATCGCTTAGATATTAATCGCAGGGGAAATCGCGTGCGCGCGACACACCGGAACGAAGGATATCATCGAGGACGAAAAGAGTCGCACGAGACGTCGTCCGCGGTGATGTCCCATTAGCATGCAGGACTTGCGAGTACACTCGCAGACCAGGCACGAAGTACCGTTGGCCGATCTCGTTGATCCGTTACGTCTCTCGCGTTCCTGTCCGCGTCTCTCGCACGCGTGAAAAATCTGCGACGCGGTCACGTAAAAATTTGGATTAACATCGCGAGAACGTGCCTTTTGGCCGGATACCAAGCTCTTCGAAGAAAATCAAGAAAGAATCCTTTGCCCAGTTCAAGGTAGAAAAAAAGAAAGAAAACGGAAGAAGGGAAAAAGATTGAATTGCAGTACGTGCATTGGCATCGAGGCGAGCGTGATTCTTGCGACAAAGCAATAGGAACTTCAAGGTTGTTATTTCGATTAACTGGGGTTCAAAAGGTCTAGGTAAACAAATACTCAAGAATGCTACGCTTGGAATGTGTTTTAATTCTTTTGAAATATCGCTACGCTTTAGCAAAATTTTCTAAAATTCAAGAATGCTACATGCAGTAATCACATATTTATTCCTCTGTGAATTCATTAGTAGAAAATAATTTTTGTAGCATATATTAAAGAATAAAAAATGGCCTGTTTGTTAGAGATATATAATTTTTTTCTTTTCAAGTATTTTTCAAAGATAATTTATAACTTAAAAGTAAATGTTTTTTTAATTCATCTTATTTTTAGATCAAGGATCTTTAAATCTAATTTAAAAGTAAAAGTCTTAATCTGTCGACAAAAGTTACAAAATTATATTTTAAAAAATTACATACATTGAATTCTTTTTTATATTTTTACATTAAAATAAATAAGTTAATGCCCGTTTTAATAAAGTTATTTGTAAAATTATGTATTCTGTTATTAATTAAACACACAATGTAAATAATTAATTAAATAAAAATAGTAATCTATTACCATTATAACGTATAATTATGTACATTTAAATATCTTTCTTGCATAGAATTCTTAATGTTTTTCTGTGTCTCTCTTTCTCTCTCTCGCATTTTTTTAAACCGTCAAATCGCGTTAACTCAGAATGCACAAATCTTACATTTGATGACTTGTAACTGCACATTTATGATAATGCTGCTTCGCAATTATTATAAATTAACGGTTACCACATGTAACTGTACATAGTAATTGTCGTGTGGTTATTACTCGGAGATTACTGTAAATTAATCTCGTGTCTACATAACAGCGTATTCTACGAAAAGGGGATAAACCCTTTATATTATTTTTACACGGAATCGTCTGGGTCGCCACAAAGTTCCTTTCTTCTTCGGTTACAGAGGCAGACCTTGTCGGGACTTCTCATTCCATTGAGATGACGCGTGGTGTGGCGCGCCAGGGCATGGCAGACGACGAAGAGCAAGGCGAGGTTCAATGCCAACGAATTTTACATATTGCAACACTCGAAGGCTTTAACCTTACAGTGCTGCTGAGAAGGAAGAAAATATTCGCGGTTTTAGTTACCTGCCATATAAAATCTCTTGTTTCAAGAACTTAATTATCTGTTTCAAATCGTCCAGAGAGAAATTTAATTACAGTCCACAAAACTCGCTTCAGATTGATCTCAAGGTTGTCTACCAGAAGAAAGAAAATATAAGCAAAGATATTACGGAAACAAACTTTAATTAACTTTTTCAATTAAGAATTCACCGATATTAATCTGCAAGAAATTTAGATTTCCTTATTAGATATTGAATATTTTGTAAATAATTTGTAAGCCACACTTTTACCACGAATAATGATTAACCAATGAATAATCCAAGTACTCGATCAATGGAATATGAATGTTCGTAAGCTATAAATGCAAGCGATACTATTTGCTTAGTCTACCTTTGTGCGGAAATGACAAACGCGGTGATAACGCCGTACGACGAAGCAGATCCTGTGAATCATCCCGTGCGAAGAAAAGTGCTTAGTGTGTCGCGAAATAAATAAATAATCGACGACGACGTTCGTCTCACGTTATTTCCCACGGTAACGACGATAATGCCAACATATGTAGGAGAAATGAGCGAGATTATCAAGCGCGATTTAGACGTATGTGTCTCGTCGCACCGACACAAACCTGGTATAAGTACACGCTACAAACTCCGGCACTACAAAGAACGGGAGAGAGAGAGTATAACAACGAGGACTTCCGCGATCTCGGGAGTGAGAGATCCGTGTGGATTCCGCTACGATGCGACTCGCATTCTTTTCGTCGTACTGCAATAATTACTGTTAGCCTGCCGCTTGATTGCGGGCATTAAACTCGCCCCTAACAACCGTAAGAATCCGTCTGGGAATTTTCGACGGAGCACGAAGACGGGAGGAGTTACCTGGAAGGAAGGGGAGGGAGGTGGACCCGTTCGTCCGAGATCGCAGGGTACGTCATTCGAGAGCACTCAAGAGGCAAAAGGCTTAATGGGTCAAGAGCGAGGTAATAAGTAGCTAGTACTAGCTATTCGAGACGCATTAAAAGACCGGATTACATCATTTCATATGAGACATCCTTGCTCGAAGCTTGAAAGCAGATGGTTACAATTGGACTATTATAGTACTTTAAGTTTTTTATACGATTTGCAAGGATTTGTATTTTTATTTAAAAAATGCATTGATTCACGGCTTTTTATAATAATAACAATAATATAGCTTTTTAAAAAGAGCTATCGTAAATTTAAATTAGAGATAGCGGGACTGTAATTGAGCGTAAAATTATCACGATTTAATGTAGTTCATAATGCTCACTTTCCACTCATAAAGTAGCAACACGTCCTATTATTATTATTTTCATCTTACAATTTACATTTTTATCATGTAAACTTTTTAAAGTACTCTTCTCTTTAAGAATTAATATTTTTTTGGAACGTGGCGATTTTTATATGTCAAAATTATTAGAGTTAATTATATATTATGGAAAAGACCTACAAATTCACAAAAACATAATTCAATTTTCGCTTCGCATTATGCAATTTGCGAATGTTCTGAGTGAATACGCTGCAGCTGCAAGAACTGCGCTCAGCTACATGCGCCATGCCGAACCAAGTAATCCCCGTCTAACAGTAAACCGTCGCGTTGGGAACCGTTGTCGCATGATTAACGAGCGTTTTTTCACGCTATTAGCGTGCCGCCTGCATCACGCGGATAAAGACGATCGTGTTGAATTCATTCTTCGGTGTCCGTGATTTATGATAGCTTCAGATAGTCTGCGTTTTACAGGCACTCGCTGCCATTCCGAATAAAACGATATCACATTGTGCAATATTATATTTCTTCATAAACAAGATGACAAGACTTTACGATACTTTCCGGTCTAATAAAATGATTTATCAAACCATGATTGTGACTAGAAGTTACGGTGATAACCCAAAAATCCTCTTTAAAGCGGATTTACTTATCGATTTATGACAAATTGTGAAATTATATTAAAAATACTTCGTATTTATTAAATCACGAAAAGCTACGTTTAGTCTCTAATTCTTATTCCCAGTAATATTAAAAGCTTTTAACGTGATGACGTTACTTGACTACAGCGTAAGAGAGAGACACAGAGTGGCGACAATTGATATGTCATCGACGACAATGCACGTCGCCATGCACTTTAGCACAGTCGCGTTTATCGAGTTAGATACATTTGAGCAATTTCAAGATGCCGCTTGTCTTCCACATTCTTTTTTCTCCTCTTTTACTACCCGGTTGTAGCCGCGCGAGACTTCTTTATCTGCCCGAGTATTTCATTTGGGTCATCCGACTTCCAAGAGCCAGAGACGCGAATGTGCACGCGTTTCACATAATTGCGCGAAAAATGAGAAGAGAGACGATCGCATTGTATACTTCCCGCCGAAGCTAAATGGAGAACAGGATGTCTGCAACAAGTAGCGTCACATTTCGGTGTCGCGTCGCGCGAGTTTTCCTCTCTCGCCGTACATGAATAAACAAATATCGGACAGCGCGGACAAAGACGGATTCGTATGCTAC